GTGATCGTCTACTTGGCTCGACGAAGTGAATTATACAAGTTGAATATGTCCTTGCTGTCACTTCGTCGATATCTTCGTAAACCACGTCCCGTAGTCATTTTTCATGATGATGATCTGAACGACATCGGAATTCAGTTAGCATTAGCGAAGACACTTCGATCGGATATACCACTCGGCTTTGAGCACATACGTTTTCCGGCTCAAGTAAGTATCTCTATTAGACATCCGTCCGTTTAGATTCTCAGATTGTTATATGACAAATATTCAATCGTACAAAAGTTTTCCAGAAAATGAAAGAGTCTTTCTATAATGCAATAATAAAGCATGCGTATTGTTCAGAAAATCATCCTAAACAGAGTTCAAATGATAATGAAATATACCAAGAAACTTGAATGAGAGTATCCTAGGCAAAAGTAACGCTTGTTTTAGAAGCGGAATATAGACAGGTGAAAACAATATGAATGTATTATGTTACAAATAATAATTATAATTGGATTAAATCAGAAAAAGAATTCGTAGTCGGTTTTTATAGACTTAACACACAAGATTTGTCGTTTGAAAATCATTATTCGACAACAAAAAATTATTATTATTATTTTGATTCGCAGACAAATATTGCTCATGATCATGATCGCTATCCTCTCGGCTACCATCACATGTGTCAATTTTTTGCCATTATGTTGCCATATCATCCATTGCTCACGAACATGTTTACCTATTATTGGCGCCTTGATTCCGATTCACATCTATTAGGTCCACCGCTCGTTGATGATCTCTTCGATTACATGAATGAAAAACGACTTCAATACGCTTTCGTGATGGTGGAAGTGGATGCATCTGAATACGTTCAAGGTCTCTGGAAACTATTTCATCAATTTCTTGCACGTCTCTGTTTAAAACCATCGATGGCAGTTAAGAAAACACAGACATCATTTTTCAGTGGATATTCGTACTCGATTTTCTATAATAATTTCGAATTATCCAATGCATCGATGTGGCGCGATGAATCTTCGATCGCTGGTTGGTTACGTCAAGTTGATGAAGCCAAAGGAATCTATTCTCATCGATGGGGAGATGCACCCATTCACACCTTGGCTGTAACTCAATTTGTAGAGCGAGATCGAGTCGTGAAAATATCCGATCTCGGATACTTTCATCGGCGAGAGTATGTATGCGCCGATGAAGTTCGTTCGTGTGTGGTTCCTACTCATCTCGAGGCATCGGCCAATCGTCCTTTTCCTAGAGGATGTCATCCAGTCACGAATCCTCTTTGTCAATACTATCCTGAGAAGAGAGGCAAATGACAATTCATGTTGCATAAGTTCAGCTTCATCTAATGTAGATATATTTGTGTACAGCAACTATGACCGATACAAAATGATAAGAAGTGCGAAAGAGTGTGGATGTGTAGGTGTGAATTTGTGGGTGTGGGTCAGGGTTGCCAGATCTTCCAAACTGGGCAGAAAAATCCCGAATTCCTGCGTTTGTTCCGATCGCTTTTCGAGTATCCGAATTCATCCGAAAGTTAAGGCTTTTACCGATTTTTTTCCGAATCGTGATATTTTTCTATATTTCCACTTTATCGTAATTTTACTGTAATTTTTACTAACTATTACGGCGCCGCCTTTGTTTTCTCATCATCATTGCATAATTCACTGTGTTCAGACTGATTTAGCGCAACATACACTCGCTTCAATAATATTTTCGACAATGAACTGAATTTTTATTTTAAAGAAAGGGGGTGGGTGTGGCGTGTGGATGTGAGTGAGGGTGGGTGTAGGTGTGAGGTGTGGACGTAGATATGGGTCTGGGGTGTGGATGTGAGTGTGAGGTGTGAGTGCTCTTGTTACCTACGTCCAAATCCATGCCACACCCACATCCATATCCACACTCCACACCGGCACCCACGTACACCCACTCGCCCACCCATACCTCACATCGACACCCACACACCCAAATTCTGAAAAAATCATAATGATGAACACTATGAAACAGTTTTATTCAGAAAAAAGACACAACACTGGAAAAAACAACCATTGATTCGATGTTCAATCTTATATTGTTTAAAAGCTCGTGAATAAATATAGCTATTATTGAAATATTTTTCGTTAACGGGTTGAATGTTTTCGTTGACGTTTTGGTATTGGTTTATATTTATACACAGGAATTTTATATTTTGTATATGTAGAATTTGGTATGATAGAAAGAATGTTTATTGTTGTCTCACATGATGATAATTCATCATACAGTTTACATATATTTTGTTGCGTGTTCACCCACTGTTGAAACTGTTTCTGGGCGTTTATATGTAATCCATACAATACACGCTGATATATTTCTACTTCTATGCTTGAACCTTGATTTAAACTATCCAGTAGGAGTTCATAAGACAAAGCTTCTTCTTGTAAATTTTCAAAACTTGATACACCAAATACAAACCCATTAAATAGATAAAATAGATTGCTATTTAATGTTTCTCGATTTTGGTCATACTCTTTTATTTTTTCCACTAATTCATTTCGCCTTTGTTCTAATTTAGGTTTCAACAGGCATAATTCTTCCATTATAAGTTCACGTATTTCTTTTTCTACCTGCTCATGCATCCATATGCTGCTTATGTGTTTTGGCAAGGCTATACAGACTTTATGCCACTGTATATCGTCAATTAGTAACGTACTGACACCCACGTTGATGATTTTATGTAAACTTTTTTTTTTATATATTTCTGTTGATGCCCGCTCACATATATCGCTTTGCAAACGTTCATACATTATCTCTAATATACGTCGATATACTGGTTCAACAAGTCGCTCCGGTTTATATAGTCTCCAAGCTCGATAATCGTAAGGATCGATGTATGTTCGATTAAGAATTAACTGCTGTCGTTTGTCTAATTTTGGCTTTTCGAACCACAACCACCACCACGCGTCAGATGGTGGACCATATAGTTGTTCCAAATAATATTTATCGTCTTCTTCTGGATCAATATCGTTCTGATGTGTAATTGATCTAACTTTTTCTTCATCTTTCAATGTTCTTTGTATAATTCTCTTGAGGCGCTTCAACAGCGAAGGTTGGAAAAGAGAAAAACAATGTTCAGCAATAGTATATACGTGATGACGAAGGCGAGGTCCGATCAATTTGTGAGCGCTTACAATAAACATAATGAACCAATATATTTGATCACTCACTTTATAATCAGTAAAGTCATACTCCTCTTTAGCCATTGCAATCGCAAATCGAACAGCCATATCTTGAATAACAGATGGTCTAATTATCAGTAAATATTCTTCTAGCAAAGGACTATATACTAAATTTGAAAAGAAAACTTTGTCAACCTCCCGCAGTGTAGGATCTGGTTGTGGTCCAATTCCAAGGAAATCGAGAAGAGCAATAATAGGTATAACATCATATTGTTTTGGTAGATGAGTAAATAGTTGTCGTACTGAATGGAATGAAATTGATTCAAGAATAAAAGAAAAGTGTTTATACTCAATACACCGATCAAGTTTATAATGACCATGCTCATCACGAGCCGATTCAAAACAATCCGCAGAAGAAACAAGGGCATCTAAATATGGAATTCGTTTGATTGTGTCTTGATCAAGAGTTAGAGTTTGGCCAGAAGCAAAACAAAACGTTTTTGCCGTCGTAATTAACAAACTTATATTGTCGGTCATTGAGGAAATTTCTCAGCACAGCAAAATATTTGCTTTATTTATTTTTGTATGATTATAAATACTTAAGAATTATTAAGAAAATGTCTAAGAAAACACATACGTTTCTTGTTTGTATCCAATTTACAAAGTTTTACACACGCGTAACAAAGCTGCAGCAATAAAAATATTTCTTTCCAACAGGTTCGAAGGAAGTAGATTACTCATACATCGTCATTGTTTTTGTAGAAAAACGTTGCATTTCTTTTTATCTTTCTTTTCTGTCAATATTTATGTTGGAAATTTGCAAGAGCAATCAAACATGATTCATTCATTTTTCCTACTATTACTTTTTTCTTTTATTACAGTTTAATTTGTAAACATATTATAGAAGATAATATAGTATCTTCTTGTAAAAGCCAATTTATATAAATGATTTTAATTTCAATTGGATTTAAATTAGAAGAAGAATTTTGTTCACATTTGGGTGTGGGTGTTGATATCTTCTCATTACCCACACCCACACCCATTCACACCCTCGAATGATAAATGTGATCTTTGGAAAGTTATTGTAAGTCATACATTGTACATTCTAAAGGTGAATACTACTATTACAAACACTCGTGAGCGTATCGATCAAATTTCATGATACTCTCTAGAGCGATCGTAAATAAAATAAAAGTGTCACAATTACCACTAGCCATCACTTCCACTCATCAGATAAGTGGTGAGTGTTGTGGGTGTGGGTGTGGGTATCAGTCTTAGAAATACTCTCACCCACACCCACCTACACCCACCCTGAGGAATCCGAATCTGAGATTAGTTTTAGTTTATTGTTGTATTAATTAATTACTGCTTTTTTGATTACTTTTTTCAAAAACTTGATCAAAGAAAATCGAGTATGGAGAATTCGAATTCAAGGTGAGTTTTTATTAAATTGTTGATTAATTATTTTCTGATAGTTCTTAAACAATGCGTCTACGAGAAAGAGCTAAGTGAGATCGCAGTTGAGCGTTAGTTGTCTTTATTTTGAAATACTACTTAATTCCTTTCTTTTTTTGTCTCTAGAATCTCAAATGACATATGGAGTTATGAAGTGAAAAACTCTAACTAAAAATAGTAAAATAGTATAACATAAACCATTGCTTTTGTAGATATTATTGAAAGAATATAGAAATATTCAATGAAAAACTAATTTTACAAAAGTTTTCAATTTTATTGCATATTAAATGAAAAGAAAAAGATGATCAATTGTTTAACACTATAGTTATCTTTAACATATAGCTCTTTCATATTAATTCAATAAAAAATTATATCCAAAGACGAAATCTTGATATTTGAATATCAAATTGACAATTTTGGAAAACCAGATTGAATCATTAAATGATATGGTTCAACTTTTTCTTGAAAAATTTCTCCATAAATATCAAGAAAAACAAATTGTTTTAATTGTTCAACTAATTGAGAAAGATCTTGTTCAAAAATTTTTACATGTTCATCTAAATAACAAGAATTTTGATTATATTAATTTGTTTTTCTTTTTTGTTAAGAATATATTTGAATAAAATATAGATAGATTGAGTTGTATGTAGAGATTCCATCCATCATTGAAGTGAAACATCATAAAAGTATCCAGATTTAAAATCCGATAGAACTTAGAGAAAGTAAAAGATAAAAATAATAATATAAATTTCTATTAAAAATAAGTTTCTGAATCTTAGATATTTTCTTTTTCTTTTATTAAACACAAAGAGTGAATCATTTAAGAGAATTCTGTTCATCTTTATAATAAAATTGTTCAAAAGAAAGAAAACAAATAATACAATCATATTTAATAAGTATTGTTAAATGAAAATAAATGTCATTTGATATTTTTTCAAAGTGCTTTGACTAATATTTGAATTATTTTCTAATAAATTCAAATGATTCAAGAAGAAAATAAAAATTTTTCTAAATAATAGATTTCAACTTTAACATATCAAGTCTACAGTATTATGGAAATCACATATATTTTTCAAAGAAAAAATAGTGTAATGTAAGTTTAAGCCTAGACCCTCTTCGATTCTTCTCAAGTCTTAATAATTGAGACTAAAGTTTAAATATCAATAATTTTATTCATCATCTTAACAATGGGAGATGAAGGTCAGAAAACCTTCTTCAGCTTTATTAATCAGAATTCACTAGGAAGCAATTGTATTTCTCTCTCTCATTTTCAATTACCGACACGACTATTGTCCATTTCGAAATAGAATAGACTCAATTGTTTGTTGAATAACCCAGCAACGATGATAGCTATCGAGTTCAGGTTTTCGTCATCAGAAAGAGCATGAGACATGAATGGAGTAGAAGTCTACCTGAGAATAAAAATACTTGAAATGTTTTTTAGGGAGTTGTAGAGATTTCTTGGAAAACCACTGTCGAATTTATTTGATTCGGTGTATTTTCAAATTAAATTGAAAATCCAATATCTCAAGAAAGGAACATCCTTTTTGGCTAAAAATTTTAGGATATACTACGGGTCATTAGACCTATCTGTGGACAAATTTTCAGGTGGAAATTTCATAATTTCACTTTCCAGTAAATATCTAGGCTGGTGCCGAAAAGCTGTTTAAATGGTCATCGTTTTTAAGAAAAGGTCGAAAAAGTCTAAAAATTTCGCGATTTATAAAGTAGACATTGGGCTATAATATGGCTAAACTGAAACTGAAAATATACCTAATCCAGTGAATTAGACAGTGATTTTTCAAAAAAATTCTGCAACTCCCTAGAAAACATTTCAAGTATTTTCATTCTCAGGTAGACATCTACCTCACTCGTGCTCTTTCTAATGATAAAAGTTCGAGCTCGATAGATATCACCGTTACTGAATTATGTGAGGAATGTTCAAAGACTGAAAAATATGAATTCCTCCTAAATTCCCTTTCAGTTCTCTGACCGCCACAATAATAAAAAAAGTCATATTATTCACAATAGTTTTTGTTCTCATATACATATTAATGAGAAAATGTGTAGATGTCAAAACTACTGAAGAACAAGCATCATTGTGATTATTATGAGTGATGAAACTATGACGAAATTGATGATCAGTTCTCGATCTCATAAGAAATTATCTCCGCTCTATTGATAGTTCCTCAACAGTTTAAAAATTTCAATTTCTCAGTTCTTCAACATTGTAAATCACAGCGTTATCCATCCATCTGGAAAAACATTTTTATGCATTCTGTACTATAACTATTTAGTGAAAAAAAAATCACATTTTTCTGATATTTGATTGAAACTACATAGACAAATACAAAATGTGACTTCAGGGCAACTGAACACGTCCACATTAGTTTAATCAATGAAGTTCTATGAAATGATATTCAGAATTAAAATTTAAAAAAAAGAAAATTTCTTATTAATAATTATGTTTTATTTATAAAAATAAACTTACTCGTTGTCCAAGGAAAATCATCTGGTCTTCGAAGACGTAATGTTTGCAAGTGAGGCATACAAGTATTAAGAAAAGGTACAAGCTGTTTTCCAATATGAATTGATTTATTTCGACTAATATTACAACTTGTAATAACAAATTCAGCCTATCGAACAGTACTCAAAACATTTATTTTTCGTTCATCAAACGCCTAAAAATAAAATTTAATTATATTAAATTAACAGAAGTTATGTATCAACGAACTTCATTTTCATATCACAATTTAATTCAATTGAAATTATTTCCTTATTATTTATATTGTTACTTTTGTATGCTTTTCAATATATATATATATATGTATGAATTAAAAAAAGATTATTTTTTTTCGATGCATTCACATAAAATCGAATTGAGAAGTTATAACTTGTAAAAATTCTATAATAAAATTTTATTTAAAAGCATTTTAGAACAAAAATTTTTGTGTGTATTTATTTAATTTCCCAAAAAACTCTAAGAGATAAGATTTGTGAGATTTTCAAAGATCTCATCGGTATAATTGATTGATTTCAATATTTTTATTAACATATATATTCAAATCAATGATAAGATTATATAAATATATTTACAAGCTTTAAAATGAATTAGAAAATCAATACTTACATATTGAATTTAAAGTAGTGAATTTATTTTAGTAAATAAATAATTTCAATTAAAATTTTTTATGTGGAATGCATAATGATTCTGATTATTAAGATTTGCTTTAAAAACGTCATTAAACTACTTGCTACAATGTTTTATTTATGTCTGAGTAGTTTTCATATTGAAATCAATAGTTGATTAGTTTTTGATTTTAATGTATAATCGATCTTTTAAATACTAATATGACAATGATAGTTGCTATTATGAAATTTCAAATCAAATACAAGATTGCTAAAAAGAAAAAAAAACATCTAACAAGACTTATTTAGCAATATTCATTGTAAAATATCACATGAGTTCACTTATTGAACCTATCCAAGTGAATATAATCTTATTTTATTCGGAAAATTAAGACAAAAAAAATTAGAATAGCATGAGTAAATGATATTAAAACCTATTTAATCGATAGAATAATTTCAGAATCAGGAACGAGTAGTTTTTTAATAACTTCATCATGTTTCAATCTAATAAAATAAATATATATAAAACGAAATAAAATTTAAAACAAAATACCCATTGATAAATTCTTGTTTGTTTAATTTCTTATCACCACTTACATCAAGTTTTTTTATTATTTCTTTAGCTCGATGTATTGGATTTTTATCACCTTGACGATCTTTTTCACCAGTACGATCATACTAAAATATTAAATAGTATTTTAAACTTCATGAAAAAAAAAAACAACCATACCATAGCCGAAATAAGTTGAGCTAATTCATTTACATCTAAAAGTCCATCATGAGAAATATCCCATCTAAAGAAAATTATTTAAAAACAAAACATATTATAAAATAAACTCATATCTTACTTACAAATTGAAGATTATATCAAGTCGTTCGTCTACATTTCCAGTGTTAGTACCAACAGCAGCAAGAAAAAGAAATTCATTAAAATCAATAGTACCATCATGATTTATATCAATAATATCAAATAAACTATATTTGAAGAATAAATAAAATGAAATAAATTATATGAAAACATTGTATAAATATACTTGGATGTTAAATTTTTAGAACTTTCAGGAAAAAGTTGTTTAAATGTTGCTATGAATGTATCTTTATCCAATTTACCTGTTGGATGTTTACTAATAAAGGCCTGTATAAAAAAAAATTAATATACATATGATCATTTAAAATCATATGTATTCAACTTACGGAATGCCATAATTGAATTTCTATTTAGAATAAGAAGAAAAATATCAAGAAAAAAAAAAATACATCTAACAGTATGTCGATTACCTTTAGCACTTAAATGTGACGAATTTTGAATCATGTTTAATTCTGTATAATAAATATTTAGCAGATTATATAACATATCGTCAAAGCAACAAACCTTTATCATTCAAATCTGTTGGCTTTCGTTCCTTTCGAAGTTTTTTTGTATCCATTTATTTGTTTAATAATGTCGAATGAAAATTGAAATCTAAAATAATTATAATTAAATAGTGTAGATGTGATTTAGTAAGTTGATCAATCTTCAGTGGCTCTCATTAGTTAGAACATGAACACAACGAAATATTTTTCTTATTTATAATTGTGACGAGCAAAAACAACATACTATATTATGTATTGATATCACAAATCCAGATGAAATCGAATATAAATAGAAGTAACACATTATGCTTTATTAATCGAATAATGATCAATAAGTAACAAGTCAAGGAGTAGAAACTAATATACACGACACATCAAGGATAAAATAAAACAGAGACACATCGTTGTATATCCCGAAAAATATAAATCCCCTATCACGTGTTTAGAAAAAAGAATGAGTGAGACATAATGAATACCTTTCTTGAAAATCGATAACTTTCATTCGTTTATTTCTATCATAGTATGCCTAGATTTCAATGTTTTGAGCTAAAAATGTTAATAGAGTGCTTTCAATACTTGTTTTTAAACTTGTAAAACCATACGAAATTCAGTTTCAACATTGTTTCAAATGAAGGCGATGACGAAATTTTTCATTGATTTATTTTTAATGAGAAAAAAAATGAAATATTCTAAAAGATAGCCTACTATTCTATTAGTTTAGAGGATAACGAACATGTTTTACTCATCTAAATACTTCATTAAAGTCTTCAGTTAAACAGACGATAAATATAATTATTTGAACGATCTTTGATAGTACGAATCGAAGCTATATATTATACTTAATTAATTTTTCTACATGATAGATATTTATTGAGTCAGTTATTTACGAATTTTATATTTATCTTATTTTTATAAGAAACTTTAAGCAGGTAACAATAAAGTTCTCTCTCAACAGACGATACTTTGAAAACAATAAATCCGTTAGAAGAAGATTTGAATATGGGTGTAGTGAGCATGTGTTGCTCCTGTAACTTTCAGTACAAACACATCTACACCATTTATACCCGAAAAATTGATTTGTTTCAATCGTTTTTCAATTGATTAGTATTTTCTATTTTTTTCAAACATTTTTCATTTCTCAGGCGTTACTTATCGTCTAGAAGATTGCCAAAGAATGAAACTCAAACTTCGTTATGCATTTATCATCATCGAATGGTGAACTACGATCAATTTCATCTTAAATGATGATTTCAGTGAACTGTTCGATTAATCATGATTGAATTAGATAAAATACAAAGCAGCGACACAGCCAAGATTTCTAGACCGGTAGACAAACATTGCTTGTGTCAAATAAAAGACCAATGAATGAAATGAACACAATTATTGATAGGCTAAAATTTTTTTACCCTACAAAGTACTGATAACGTAGAAAAAATTACATTAGATTCTTTTAATATGACAAATAACATCCTCAACTTATTAGACTGATTCCGATGCATTTAAGTCTGAGTTTGATATATCTATATTGTATCGTTTGAAAAAAAAAATTTCGATTTAGGAAGTGACAGATATTACAATTTACAATACTATATGAGAGAGGGTGTGATTAGATTCTTTCAATTAGGACTTAATTTTAATAAGAATTGTTTCAATCAAATTTCCTGATGACATACAAGATCGTGATGTCGACGTTTTTGTTAGTGATTAGAAGCTATGACTTACTTAAAGTTGATCACTAAAATAGAATGGTTTAATCTACTACGTGACATTTATTTTTCATCGGCACACTGTTAAATCTGTACAATAATCGATTAAATGTAGAAATCATATCGTTATTATATTTTTTTTCTGTTAGTTTATTGATGGTTACAGAAAGACAAATTAGAATTAGGTCGTATGCATATTGACGTTCATTTAAAAATGAAACCAATTAAAACTTACATATTTACCTTAATCTTGGTTGTGGAGTTGGTGTTTTGATAAAAATCTAGTCTAATACATTCCCCGAAAAATCTTGCATGACAAATTAATACTATTTATTCTCATTTAAGAAAGTTCTACATTAGACAAAGTATCGAATCTTGTATGATGGCAAGTGTGACAATTAAGTTTTGAATCTTTTTTTTTAAACAAGAATCATTAAAATACTTTCAATGTATCTGGAAGTTTAATTTCCCATCGAAAAATCAACCGATCATCCGATTTATTCGCTCAGAGAATAGTAGCAGAAATCAAATTATTGAACCTTACAGAACCAATAGTTCAAGATAAGTTGGATATAGATTCCTAATATTTTTATGTAGTAGTGAGTATTACGTGATAGAATCTATGCTGCAAAAATCGTAGGGATTGATGGATGAAAGTTTGAGATGTTTAAATTTTTTTATATAGAAAAATAGAACGGTACAATAAATTCCCTACTGATTATGTCATGTCGATATTCTTGTTTCTTTTCTCTAGGATTTATTCTTCTTGATCTCCACGTAGATAATGTCTTTTCAATAAAATCAAATTCATTTTTATGCAATTTTATAATGAAAATACACGATACGATGCTTGTCTTAATTCTTCAAAAAAAGAGAAGAAGCTCAGAGGACATGTGTAATTAAGGCAGAGGAAGTATATCGTCAATACGTGATTCAAAAATAAATAAGTCCTTGTGAAAAAGTATGATATCAATGGGCAAATCTCGAAATGGGATGGGCAATTACCAATTTGCTTGCCCGTTGGCTGCACCACTACGAAAAATCAGACCCACATTCACACCCTTATTGAAAAATAAATATTAGTTTCTTAAATAAAATCAACGATAAATAGAGTCGAATGTTCGATAGCATGTCATTATTAATGAGCTATGTGTCTAAAACAAACTTCTCTTTTCTGTTTGCTGTCGATGTCACTGTTGAACAACAACGATTAATTCCAGGAACTAGTGTTGTACTCCCATTTATAATCATTTTACATGAGCTGGCTACAGGACATGCTGTTCGGCACAGGTCGCAACTTATTACAAATAGTGGTGTATAGTTTTGACTTGGGAGGCATGGCCTGCCATTCACACTTATGCATGAAGGAGTACAGAGGGTGTGGATGTCAGTATATGAACGGCTGATACCCACATTCACACACCCATATAACTCTAATCGGTTCGAACTCAAAATATGTCATAGAAACGATTTGATTACGGGTGTTGAACTATCCAACTTTTTATAATCTACAACTATACTGAATTATAAAATACCAACAGTTCATAATGAGGAACCTAAAGGTCCGAGTTATTTTTTTAACGCATCAGTATCATACAATAGAAATATTTCTTTTTCTTTTACGACGTTATTTAAACCATAGCTCGAGAATGAAGAGTCGTCAGCGCGAACACTTCTAACATTTTCTTAGTCTTACTGAGGCCTATCTATAGACAAACGATGTAATCGAAAGCTCGGAAAGAATTGGAGTAGTTCTCTTATTACAGCATATAGCAAAAGAACGCAATATAATTGAAGAAATTAACGTTGACAAATCTATAGAATAAAAGACAAGATATTCAAGGCATCACAGAACTCATCGGATATGTAACTCTATAGGGTAATGGAACAAAGCTTCAGTTGCGGAGGAGAGAATGAATCCCCGGATGATCCTTGATCACGCTACTATTCACAAATCTGCTGTGAGTTGCTTACTGGCACTCAATGGAACATCACTCCTGGCTTGTCGTTCTCTAAATTTTTAGATCGTGATCAAACTTTATCTCATTCTCAAATATTTGCTCATATTAAGATCTTAAACTCTCATAGAGCCCTCTAATTTCATATATCAATGTTTAGATAGAGAAACCATCTCTTTGCCAAAACTTTGCCTTCGCAAAAATTGATAGGATCAATACTAAATGGTAAGAACATTTGATAGGTTATGGGTTACGTTAGCGGCTTAGAAAAACCAAATTGTCGAGATTTTCACGACTGAAAAATGGGGTTCCTTAAAATCTGAACACTGGACACCCATAACTACATAGGAGGACTATCCTTTATGTGAATCAGTTTCATTATTAGACTAATTAATAATAATAACATCGATCTCAGATACGCATTCCCCGACTTCAATTACTCTTTAGTCAAGTTTTATAGAGAATATTAATAATTAATAATTAATTTATTAAAATTAGCCTCAAATTCGGATTCCTCATCGTCGATTACATGTTGGTGAAACTTTTTCTAAGAACTAGTACTAAGTTTTTATTGGTTTATCGCATACTGAATTCTGATTGGCTTGGGCAAACAAACAAACTTTTAAGATATTTATCGAGCGCATAACCCTTTCTTTCAGAAAAGGGAATAAAAGTAAAAAATTGCGCAAAGACGAGGATTATAATTATCCTGGAGATTTTATTTTCATCTGTGTGAATACAACGTTAGAAAGATTTTTTTTCAATGAAGAAATTTATGTTCGAACACGAAAACAATCGAATATGTTTCAACAGGTTTGATTGAAATTCATGAATATTCTCGAAGGCAATAGTCAACAAACCTCGAATTTTAATATTTTTTTTCTTTCTATATAATGTTTGCTTTAATGCAAATGACTTTTTTTCTTCGTATGATTGAAAACAAATAAATTCATTTTATACCAAAAAAAACGTTATTCGTTAAAAAAACAAAGTGTCATTGAGTGCCATTTCAAAGAAAAAATTGCATTACCAATTTTTTAAAGTTATCCGTACGAAGAAATATGGTTGAATCAAATGCTGGACACGATTTGAAAGAAGATTTTGTCGAAAAATGTCGAACGGATGTTGGACATCAGTATCCAATTATTATCCTTGACGATAATAAAGATAAAAAAAAAATATACGAACAAGTGTTTGGTGAATTTAGTCGTATTATCAAACGGCCTATACATATATTCGACGATGTGGATGAATGCTGTAATTTTGTTGAGAATCAGTTATATTCTAATACGTGCACCAAGGCTCTTGTCTTAGTGCGAGATCAATTAGTTAATAATATTATTCATGATATTGTTTATTGTGATCAAATTCAAGAAATTATTATCCTCAACGATAATCCACCAAGTAAAGAAGAAAGAGAATCAATGAAAAAGTATTCCAAAGTAGGTGAATAAATCAAATTTGTTTTTTCTTCGATAACTCGCCTTTTGACATTCGATATTAGTTGTATTGTTCATCTCAACTTTGATAGGAAAGTTTATTATCGGTAATAGATCAAAAATTTCATATCATCAGTGATATAAACATGTATATTATTTATCTATAATTCAACAAAGTGGTATAATGCTCGCTACCGACCATTAAAGGCAGACGTATATGTCGAATCTAATGCTCTCAAGACTGATGTGAATGTGCTGTTAAGATGGGACGATGTGATTGGAGATGAGCATGCTGACTTTTTCTGTGTTAACATATTCTACACTAATACCAATTCATGCATAATGATGCGTACTGTTAGTTCGAGCTTTCTTACAAATACCTTTCATTAAACCTTTGAAAATTTGGTCTTATTCACAGGTTTCTGTTCCTAGAAGCAAGAAAGACTATGAATCACTTTTCTCACTTTAAAATAATAAAACACGGATTGGACCAAAATGCTCAAATTTAACGAAATGTTATAGAAGCTAAGAAAGTCGAATCAGATAAACGAACATCACTATGAATGCACCGATGTGCTTGTACTGACTAACAGGTATGAGAAAAAGTGATTATTGTTATTTCGATTAATAACAAGAAATTTCCATTCCATGTAGCCCAAACTATATTTCGTAATGCAAAGAAGCTTGTCATGAAGTATTTAGCTGAAAATTTTATATTTTTCATTTGACATTTCGCAATACCTTTCTTCGAAATCTTATTCTAAAAATTCTCTAGAATTATCAATAGACAGTTTACTTGGAAAGAAGAGATAATAGATTCATAGCATACGAAATCAGTCTATGGTATTCCATTGCACAACTGGAAATTTTTCAAAGAATGCTTGTTAATAGTTTTCGCGATATACAGCGAGAAGTTAGATAGTTCTTTCCTTTTGACTGTTACGGTCTGCGTGCTTACAAAAGTTTTTCGACTGACTGTATTATATTTCGATCACGATCTATGATTTACATTGTGTGAATTTGTCATATAGTATCATTAAGCTGAGTTTTATCGTATACACTGGAATGTTTGTATTATTGAGTAGGCATAGATTTTCGTCATTCTCGTGACTAGACCACAGAAGACTTCATTTATTGGAACCACAAATGTAGCCAGATATTGTTTCAGAAAACTTTCTTATAAAGGAATCGTTTACATCTTTCCTAGGCCGTTGAATTAGGATAGTGTGGACGAGTTGTATGTGTGCATTGATCGTAGATGTAAGAATTTGTTCTATTCAGGACAATATGTAATGATTTCGAATAAGTATTATTTTACCATGTCCACTAGGATCTTTGAAATAGAATGTATTTTTTAGCAAGAACCTATTCTACCAATTGATTTTATATTCGGAGAAATTTAACTCGTTCCTATCCTTTTACTTTTTAACCTCAGTTGTTTTTTAACATTCTGCACAAATTAAACATAGTTACCTTCACTCTTAGTGCCTAAAATATCCTACTCATGTTTTAGGTAAGCTATATGAAGGACCCGGAATTGACATCTTATGACAATCAAACATTAGATCGAGAAATCCTTCAAGAAGAACGATTTAATGAGCCAATTGCAATCGCTTCGGCATATGCAAATGACTCAGAAAAAAATATGAATTTAGATGTTGAAATAACTGGACGTTCATCTGAATGTTTTTTCAGTACGAATACATTACTTCACTATTTCGCACTAAAATGTCTCATGAATAATCAGTCAACACCATCGGACTATGATAATCTTATCGAATTATTTCGAACAGAACTTTCTCTTCCAGAAACAACTATTGACCGATTCAAAAAGACCTATGCACCTGATCAGGCAATACAATTTTATACGAAAGAGGCATTTATATTTGAACCATTAAACAAAGCATTGCGTTCAATAAATATCAATCATCTTGTACGATTTCGATTTGTACTTAAAGATATTTATGATCAGTTAGGCGATCTAATGGCTCTTGAACTCAATGCCAAAGCGAGACAAGTTTATCGAGGTCAACGAATGCATTTCGTTGAAATAATGGATTTATTTAACAGTTTCAAACAGAAAGCACCGATTATTGCTAATAGTTTCTTTTCAACATCCCTTGAAAGGTTACTCGCCGTCAACTTTCTTCTTGCTGGATATGATAAAGAACAAATTATGACTCATGTTCCCGTACTTTTCACGATTAACATTCGAAAACAAGATGCATCATCTGATTGGCCATTTGCAGACATATCTAGATTGAGTAACTTTCATCAAGAAGCAGAAACATTATTTGCACCAGGTCAGATGTTCATGATCGAGAAATTCCAAGCGATACATGAGCATGATACGATTATCTATTCGATTGAAATGAGACTTCACAATGAAACTGAATTCAATCTCAATGATCACTACAATCGAGTGAAATCTCAATGGGAAGAAGAGACCCATGATTCATTGATTCATCTCGCTAAATTACTTATGAATTGGAATCGATACGATGAAGCAAAAGAATTATATGAACAAGTACTAAATCAAAAGTCTGATAAACAGACACAAATGGTTTGCTACCAAGGTTTAGCTCAAATAGCTACATCCACGAATAATAGCGATGAAGCAATGATATATCAACAGAAAGTTATGGATTTAAAATTTGGTAATGATCATTCGTCATCGATGCCAGACGGTATTCTAGTCTCAAGCGAATTTCAACAAAGTTTTTCTACATTTTTCGATAAATGTCAAAATGCTACAACACGATCATCTTTTAATCAACCTCTCAACGAAGTTAACAATTATTTAGTAAGCAATGAATGGAATGAAGTCTTGCATCAGACTCCACAAATGACACTCACGATTGCTCAGACATTAATTAACAATCAACAATATCAATTGGCAATCTCATTTCTCGAACCAACTTTAATTATCATTAGATGGACGAATGATGTCGAATTCGATCCATTGGATAAATCAAAATGTTATGAAACCTTGGGTTATTGCTATCATCACTTAGGTATGAATGAGAAAGCTCTAGAATATTACACATTGGCATTAGACGAAAATATTCATTTACCTCCTCAAAATCATATTAAAATATTGTCTGCCGTCGGTAAAGTACTCGAAGAGATGAATCAATGGGAAGAAGCTTTACATAAGTATATCAAAGCGGCTGAAATCTATCAGACTGATTTACCAAATGCAGATCCAGAGGATGTTACTCATATCGAGAAATGCATTGAACAAGTTACATCACACCTTCTTCCATCCGATAAATAATCTAGCAGAAATGAACTCTTCTCAGATTTTCAATTTTTCTATATAACCAAGCGATTTTTGTGCACAATAACATACAATCACTGTTTTATATCATTGTATACAATATATAAATGTATTAAACATTTTTCATATTGGAACCGGTAAACTATTGAGAATAAATCTTTATGATGCAATATAGTATACTCATTGGGAAATCACAATATTTTTATTAACGTTAGGTTTGTGTGTCATACAACCAAAAATAGGCATGATTCAGATGGATAAGTGTAGAAGACCAACTTTTTTGTCATGCCTACTAAGTTCGTATGATTTTGTACTCTTATGAGTCAATGTTATAATTTCGCTAAGAAATCGAATTATAGCTTGAGAATTCCTTGCTGGATCCTGATTTTTCAACAAAAATTGTCTTTTTGAATCTTGAGCTGAAACTTTATCCACTTAATGTCGTCGACTAGTTTATCTTATGAAACCAAAATTTCAGAACTATTGAAAATCATATCACTAAGATATAAGTTCTTGTAAGCATATATCTTGATCATATAGTGTACACAAGTTAGTCTAATTGAGAATATTATGTGTTGTAGGTGATATGGATATAATGCACCTTGAATCTGGAAGCTCCGACAAAGAAATGTCTGATGACGAGGTGGATTCAGACGTCTGGAATGAAATAGAATCGGAATCGGATGCAGAATTTATAGAAGATCATGGACTCGTCGAAGAAGTAACTTCTGTTTCGGAGGATAATGTGGTCAATCCTATCGATTATTATCGGCATTTGTTAGCTCTCATATGTATAGAACGAAAGAGACAAGCAGTGTCACTGATGTTATGTGACAGAACGATGAAAAAGATGACCTTCATGGGAATCGAACCCATACCTTCTGCTATCCGGGCAGATGTCCTAAGCCAATTAGACTAGAAGGCGCATCTTAATCATCGTTTAGCGTCCAAGTGATTCATCATGGACGCTAACAGCATTTCATCACAGACGAAATTATCGATCTTATGGTTCGTGAAACTAATCGATATGCGCAGCAATACTTACAAGCCCATGAGATCAGCAGGCAGTCCAAGTATCGTGAATAGAAATCAACCACTGATGAAGAAATGCTCAAGTTCTTTGGGATCATTATCGAGATGGGGTTGGTACAAATGTCACAACTGAACCACTACTGGAGCAGCAGTCAGTTGTACGGGTTGGAGATTATTCGAAGCGCTATGTCCAGAGAGAGGTTCGAATTACTTCTCAAGTTTTGGCATTTTTCGAATAACGATAACAAAGATTCGAGTCAAGATAAGCTGTTCAAGTTGAAACCAATCTTGGATTTATTGAAAGCCAGGTTTTCGTCAGTATATATGCCGGGTTCGATTGTTACTATCGACGAAACTATGATGCCATGGCGAGCCAGGCTTTTGTTTAAACAATATATTCCTGGTAAAGCACACAAGTATGGCGTAAAGATGTACAAGCTGGCGGCTACTAATGGATACATCTGGAATTTTGTGATCTATACTGGCCAACAAGATCCCATGACAGGTCTTAGACATCCTCAAACAGTGGTAATGAATTTATTGGATGCTCTTGATGGATGTTATCGAACCGTCGTAACTGACAACTTCTTTACTAGTATTTCTCTTGCGAAACGTTTGTTAGAACATGATACGTATCTTATTGGAACACTGAGAAGCAATCGTGTCGGATCAGGAAGCGAAGTTGATGAGAAAAACCTTAGACGCGGCGAAGTTTACGGACTGCAGAACAAAGACGGTGTGAAATCGATAAAGTGGAAAGACAAGAAGGACGTTTTGATGATATCTACAAGATCGTCACATCCAGCAACTGTAATGAATACTGGAAATATCAATAGTAAAAATGAGCCCATCATGAAGCCACAAGTAGTGCTAGATTATAATGAAGGAAGACAAGATACTGATTTGTCTGATCAGCTATCAACCAATTATACGTGTCTCAGACGGTCAATAAAGTGGTATCGAAAGGTAGTATTTAAATTGATTTTTGGTACAGCACTAGTAAATTGTTATTTGGTATATAAGGAAAACTACGCTGTAAGCAAAGTAACCATTCTACAGTTTCGCGAAAGTCTTGTCCGATCTCGATTGCTTGGTGTGCCATTCGAGAAACTGAAATCGGACCCGAGACAAAAGTCGACAGGGCAAACGAAGCGGAAACTCGCTGATCACAAGTTAGAAGAAATAGAAGGATCTGCGCGCAATGTCCGCAGACGCTACACTGGTTGCTATAAACAAGGTAGGAAGCAACAATCAAGGGAGGCAAGCTATGCAGCAGCAAAGAAAATAAAAACTTTATGTTCTGACTGTGATAAATTTTTTTGTCTTGAATGTTTTAACAAGAAGCATCATGTTACGGAATAAAGGACTCAAAAAATATTGAAGGTAGAGCGGATGACGTATTTCGTTTAACCTCTTGCCTAAGAAAAAAGCAAAAGAAAGTGTTTTTCTATACAGTTCCTTCTTAAAATATAGTGTGGCCCACCGGTGGACCACATCGTGGTGAATGTGTTAAACAAAACAATATTATAAATATATACTGAAATCTTTAATCTCAAGAATGGAAAAATGAAGATTTCTCAAGATAGATTTAAGAATTTTTGTATCTATTTAATGATTCAACAGTCTCGATTCGGTTTGTTGGAACTCTATCCTCCCCTTCTTTCTATTCGCTTTTGGTGCACCCTGCCGCCCCTTTATCTGCACGTTCATTATGAATGATTCCAAACAAAAAAACAAATAATAAAGTTTCGAGAAATTTCTTAATTCATCATGAAGATCAATTTTCAATAAGAAAAAATATGGAAACGTCGGATTTAAATCCGAGAGTTATGTGTACTTCAAAAAGTGAATGAAGCAGATGAGTTATCCTAGAATGTGAGGACATAAAAATGATCCTGGCAAACCTTTTCTATAAA